TATTTACTGACTTTCAAAGTGGTCATGTTTAATTGACTTGAATGTACATTAGTTCACTCGCATGTACATTAGTTCATGTTCAAGTGCAAATGAATTGAATGAAATAAAATGAATGTTGTTAGTGTGCAAATGTATATTAGTCTTTGTCTTGAGGGAGATGTCTGATTTTCTGTAGAATTTTGGTTGTCTTTTGCTGCTCTCTATAATAAGGATCCCAAACAGACTTAGTATATTCCAAAATTAGAAGGTCGTATGTGCAAAATATCCACTTCAAGGTTTTCACTGTTAAGCACTTGAAATCCTTTCTCACAAAAAATAAGAGTGCAGTTAGTCTTCTTAACAACTTTTGTAATGTGTTTTTTTCACATCAGATCATTAGTGACTAATATTTCAAAGTCTCATGTAGAAGTTTGTGGGTATTCTGCAACTACAGAGAGTAATGGTAGGCAAGGATTCTTGTTAACAACATGGAGAATAAAACATTTTCCAAGTTCAATGATAGTAGCCATTCATATGATCAAGCAAGCATTCAATATCTAATTGAAACTGCCAATATTTCTCAAGAGGGTTAGGATACTCTGTGATATCATGAGCATATACTGATCAGGAGATCAAATGTTGTGAGCCAGATCGCTTATAAGAGAGCCTTAATAGGACGGGTCCCAGTCAGGGGCTGTAGGCTGGCTGTAGCAAACAGTACAAGGCCAAAGTCAAGGGCCCCGAATAAGGATATGCACTGACCTCTAATGAAGATTGCAATGGCAATGAGGGCCCCTTTTTCTGTATCAGGATCCCTGAGAACATAGCTAGGCCTCTCATCCCAGTTCTTATCCTCTTGGGATGCTTCTTAAAACCTGTTTTGCAATTGATAAGGCTGTCCAATTGAAAGTAAAAATGTTTTCTCAGTGATAAATCAATCTATATTAGCATGGTTATTGTAATTCCAAAACAATATACTTCATAGAGTACATTCTTTAGGAGGATTTTGTCAGAGGAGTTTGATAAGATACATGGAAGAAGAACCCACACTTGTAGAGTTTGAAATTTTCAGTTAGGGTGAAAGTAGTCACTACTAGCAATATTTATGGTAATTTTTGCAGTTTAATGCATAGTCGTAAAGTGTAGTGAATTCAATGTCACAGAGGCATATTTTATGTTTTTGACTGATAGAAATGATTTCATAACTTTATTACACTGTTGTAAGTTATGTGTACAACAGCTTGTTACTGCCACAATTAATAAATAAATAATAATTTAAAAATCCTCTAGATTATATTATCATTGAGTCCTATTTAATTATTATTGGATGCCCTCTAATAACTTGAGGTAAGTTAACTTTCTCACCAATTTTTAGATAAAAAGATGTCCTGCTATACCCTGCACTTCACATAATGAATAAATTCTTTCTTAATAATGTTTGATTAGGAAGGTTTTTCTAGATGCACTTATTTAGATTTATTTAATATTTTAGAGATACAAATGATTATTCAATGTATCTTTTGTAATACTTCTATGTACAGTAACTAAAATGGGTACTATCATCATCATTGATTCTTTAGTTTAGAAATGATGTTAGAAATGCTGTCCTATTGACTGGTCAAAAACGTTCTGTCTAGTACAATGTGTGTGTGTGTGTGTGTGTGTGTGGGGGGGGGGGTGAAACCAATTTGCATCTGCAGAAACAAACAGGGGACTTCAAAAAATTGTTAATGCTTATCATCAGCACGATTTTCATGTTTCAAATATTTCCAAAGGAGATGTTTATAAAAAAATAGTCCCAAGGTTAGTTTCAAATATTTCCAAAGGAGATGTTAATAAAAAAGTAGTTGGAGGTTATGAGATTGTAATTTAAATATATGCAAGAAATTCTTAATTTAAAGATAAAATAAATAGAACAAGTGTGAAAAATAATATGATGCATGTGAGTTCCCTTTAGGAGAAGGATAAAAGTTAATAAACAGAATTATTCTTGGAAAAACAGAAATTAAAAAGTAAATAAAATAGTTCTTATATACTGTGGTGAACTGTCTCTTCAAGAAAAATGTCTGCGAGTCCCCAATCCAGGACCTTTACTTTCCATGAATGGTAGGCGAATACAATTACTATAATTTTGAATGTCCTCTTCAGGAAGAAGGTCACTTTAGGAATGTTGTGAAATACATATATAAAATCATTCATCATACAGCCGATGTATGATGAATGTTGTGCGATACACTTTTAGCTTCAATCCTCATGACAGACTCCTAAATCATTGTTTTCAGATGCTTATTGCTCCCTTTACAGTATTTTGTGTATTATGTTATAATTTGTTTTGGCAGATGTGAGACTGAGCTTATCAGTCAGAAAATATGGTTCCTAAGGATAGTCACTGTTAACCAACTTGGTACATTTTACATCTTTATTATCCCCACTATTACACTTATACACATCCCTCTATTACATTGATAGTACCCCCTATTCCAAGGTAAAACTTATGTGTTATTAAACAATCCAGGATATTTCACTTTTATGCCCTGGATTTACAAGTCAGAATCTACAAGAATTAGTGTGGGTCCAGTAATAGTATATTACACGGAGTACACACAACACACAAATTACAATATATACAGATTTCATGACCTTTGAACATATGGAGATCAGACATATTATGGCCCAATACTATCTAGATATACATTTCTCAAGATCAACTAAAGGTTCTCTTAATTAACTACATATTGTACTTGTGGAAGAGACCACAATATACTCTATTAATATTAGTGTCTTATTAGAGAATTTTCATACCTGCACCTACATTGTTAAGAAGCTACAATCAATTAAATGACATCATTAAAAGTACTGATTATCCCTTTGAGGAGAATATAGACATGTCCATAATTTCTTTTGGAGAAGACTTCTGTTGTTTCCATTTCCTCACTGGACTTCCTCTGTCCTTGTCTTAATTCTCTATTGTTTGTTCATTCTTTTGAAAAGTGTCATTCAGTTCTTCTGATAATCATATATTTCTTCTTTGTTTGTTGATTTCAGATCTTTCCATTTCTAACCTTGTTTCCTCTTATCTCCAAAATTGATATTGCATAGGTGTAGTTATGGGATGTGTAGGATTTGTGTATGCATTCCGATGAAATTGTGCTTAGGATAAATCTGCTCTCTGTTTATAAGTAAACGAAGAGCTGGCCATTTTGACATGAGATTTTAGAGTGTCATCAGATGAATTGACTGCTGAAATGTGGCAGCTAAGAGATAAAACTGCGACTCTACAGGAAAAGCTAATCAAACTAGTGAGTACATGTGGGATACCAAAACTTTTCATTCTCTTAATGTTATTTCTCAACAACAACTCATATTGTTTTTTAAAGTGCATTCCGTCATTTAGGGATCTAAAATTGAGGGATAAATTGCATCAAGAAAGAAATATCTTGTTTAAATTTTAAAAGTGCAGGTCAGGTTCAAAAATTAATTTGAAGTTTTGTTGTTTTCAAAATTTAATGATAATCAGGACTATAAGCCTACTATATTTATAAATATACTTTCTTCAATTCAAGTAAAAAATGTAAAGAAAAAACTTGCTGTCATTTCCAGAAAATCTTGAAAATGTCACAGATGGATCTTGTAAAGTACTCCACAACTAAAATATCATAATTATCTCTAGAACTGCACTACTAGATCTTACCCCTCATGTATTTACCAAGTTACAGCTCAAAAACCTCGAATCTGGTAGAGTTATGGGTGACTTACACTTCTATCTGGACATCCTGATTTTGGGGGTCAAAATTGCATGTACTTCTTGCCACAGAACTGATCTTAACCATCTTTGGAAAATCACCAACAGACCCTAATCCTGATGTGTGTTGTGCAAAGTTACTGCTCAAAAGAAACTAAAATGGATTTAACAACTGAAAGTTCAAGATATTGTTGAGGGGATTCCAATACTTTTCCTCCTTATGTTGTAGTTTAGAAAGGAAAAGTGAACATCCAATATTTGATGCAAAGTTAGAAGCTGAACAACTCTGCTGAAGCATAATGGATTTTACAGTGCCATTACAAGATATGAAATAGGGTGACCATTCATTTCTTGGAACAAATTTTCCCGACTCTTAACGGTTTTATAGTGCATTGCTTTGCACACTACTAAAAAAATATATTTAAGCTACCCTGATACTAATTGGTCAATTATCTGATTTTGCTGTAGCAAAGTACAAATTAACAGTATCTTCTCACTAAATAAAAACTGAGCAAAATACTGTAGTACTAATATTTGTATGGAATTACATCTAGTTTTATAACCCTCTCAAAATTTTTCCTGACTTTTCCATGGCAATTTCCTTTTTTACAATTTTCTAGAAAGTGGCCACTCTGAGACACAATTTTAGAGACCAGTAGTGCTTATGGAAAAGCATTCTCTAAATGCACTCACTGAAAATCATCCAACGACAATTCCAGATCTTCAGTGTTTTGGCAACAATTAGACTTCAATATCATCTTGAAGTAAACATTGAGGATGCGTCTGTGCTGCATGTCAAATAAATTTTAAAATATTGATCTAAAATGTTGTTATTACATTTACGTTACGATTATGAATTTAAATAGGATGTACATCATGCAAAAATATCCTCCCCTCTCCACGCTCATTAGTATACAATTTTTCAAAACTTTCCCTCCAACTTGTGAACATCTTTCATGAACAATACCTAATTTATTTTAAATGATGCATTGATGCTAGATAGAATGATGATATTAAAATCCTAGATAGATTTTCATTACTTTTGTGTACCTCAAATGAAGAGTTCTCGCTTCAGTTAAGAATCTTAAAGCATTTACGAATTACAACTTTAAATAATAATTAACAGCAAGCATTTTTACTGCACCAACTTTCACAAAATCCATGATGCCATGATAAAATTTAGTTTTAGACATCATTTATTGTTTTAACCCTGCATTTACCAACCTTTTTTCCATAATGCCCTGTAACAAGGGAGGGTTAAAAAATGTCCACAAGCAGTGTTATGTTACAGGCTTTATTTACATAAATATTTTAATTTATATCTTCATTTTCACTTGCACTCCAATTACAGATGTAATTTTCCTCCTCACTCTCGATATAAATTGGATTCTGATGAGTAATTACTCATTTAGTTACTGCACCCTGCCTGAGGACAGACTTGATCAATACTGCATACTAAAAGTAATGTTTGAAATACTTTATCAACAGTCAACAATGAATAATGAATTTCATTTGAAAAATAAGCCTCAATGTTTAGTAAAAATTCTGTTTTTCATGAAAACATTGGTTACAAGTTAGACAAAGAGAGTTGTTTCACATCCTTGCTCAATATTACTTATTTAACTTATCCAGCATTACTTGCAATTTGTTAAGAAAAATATTTTTTTTCTAATTTAATGTCAACTATTGCCTTGTGTAGATAATCGTCCATACTTAATAACTGTGTAATTAGGTTTTAAATTTCTTACTTATGTTTTATATTTAATCTCAATCATCATATACAAGTCCACTGTTACCTTACTCACTCTGAAGTAAACACACACATACAACATTGACAATGTTTCACACCACATGGAAGTTTTTGTTCTATTTTGTTGCACAAGCTCAAAAGACTTGAATCTGTCCCTTGTATCTCTATACTCTGGCAATTGATTGGCCTCAATATTCAACTGATGCAAAAAAAAGGGGGTCGATTATTCTGAAATGGGTTTGTGAGGGTTTCTACTATATATGCAGCTGATAAGGTGGTCATCTCAAAATAAGAGGAGGATCTACAAAGAGCAAATTTTACATTATCTACAACTGTAAAAGAAAATGTAAAGAGAACGTTCTATCAATTTCACATGATCCTTCAAATGAGCATGAGAGGCTTTAGTCTGCTCTTTAAAACTAATCAAAGTGGAGATTTAATTGGCCTTAACAAAAGCCTTTTAGTGAAAACTTTTGCCAAAAGAATGGTATATTTGAAAGATGATTACTAAAATTATACTCTCCTTTTTTGGTTATAGTACATTACATAACAGAATAAATACCTGAATAAAAAGGATATCATGCCTGATTTTCCCTCCTGGTATTTGAATTACAACTATGAAGTGTATCTATTGTATTTGAATCTCATGTTTTCACAAATAAATAATTTCAACATATTTTATATAAATCAAAATTAATTTGTTGAATAAATGAGAACACTGTATCCACCCTTACTGATAAAATACTATAAACACAATTAATTTCCTGCATGGAATAATGAAGGTGATATCTGTTCACTGCACTAATACAGCGTCTCAGACTTGTTAGCATCTCAATTGCAATTGAAATTGGCATCATCTTGTAAGTCAGTCAGAGAGTTCATGCCTTACAACCTGATCAATGCTACTTTGACTTAAAGTTCACTTTTGTGACAAGTAAAATAAATAAATAAATAAATAAATAAATTTAGATCACGTACAGACGTCCAGGCAACCAAAGAAAATTGAATCACTCATTAAAAATGTCTAGATATTGACAGTAATAACAAATTAATGTTATAAAAAATTATGTATGAATGATGTTTTGGGAAAAAATCAAAAAAATTAATGGTCAATGACTTGAAAAGAAAATCATTTGATTTACACCTTAATTTAAATTGTTCTAGATTGGTCGAGAATTTGTAAAATAGTAGACATTCCCAGTAAAGTGGGCATTTTCTTTGCAATAAATTTAATTCATTGCTTTTTTGATAATGTTGTTTATTTTTTAAAATACAAAAATACAATATCAGCGTTAGGACACAATACTAATATTGTAAATCTGACTGTAAAATTGGTACATTTTCTATAGTCAAAATAAAATAGTTGTAGTTTGGCTCATACTACCTCAGGGAAATTATTCCCAGTAAGGGCAAAAGAATGAAAACTTTATGATTAAATTAATTTTTCTACCTTTTTATGGAATGTTTAACATAAATAATTTAAAAAAAAATACAGAAATCAAATTGTTAAATGTACAACCCTTTCTGAAAAAATGTCATGGCCATATTTTGTAATAGTATTAAAATGGATTGCATCCTGGTAATATTAAGAATTTTATTGAGCCAGAGTTAATTTCATACATGCATTATCTCATGAGGTACATGCTACAACAATGTTTGACGTAAACCTTTACAGAGTACTATCAGTCACAAAATCTGGTGAACACCCTGTTTCCTCTAAGATATCTAATTTATCAAAACATTTGTATCATGTAATGAACAAAAATATTTTTAATATAATAAACATTTCACATAACATCAACATTCATAATAAAATATTTCCCACATCTGGGAAATTTTAGACTCAAAATAAAAGCTCTTCTTAATAACATAAGGTTTATTGTCATTAAACATGATATGCCTGAATTAGGCTATGTCCCTTTTTAATTTTTATGTAGTTCTCAATTTCATTTTGTATGAAGCAGAAATAAAACTTAAAAACAAAATATATTATTTTCTTTGTCTTACTTCAATAGAAGAAATAGAAAAACATTTACATTCGTATAGGACACCAAGTTAATAAATGTGTAAATCAACTTTCACATTTTCTGTCCTGCAGTAGTTGTGAAAGTTTATTGATATATTGACCAAACAAAATTGGAATTTTTGAATAATTTTCTATTATTCAAAAAATGCTGAAGTGATTTTGTCAGAAAAAGTAGAATACAGCAGTCACATTTAATATTTTAAATAAATGTAATCACCATTACAATTTGTTGCAATGCTTTTTCAGGAATATATTAAAACAAATATTGCACAGCAAGAATATCGCACAATTACCACACCATAATACTAAATGTAATCAACAAACATAACATATTAATATTCACAAACATTGTGCATAACAGCATTTATGTAATGCTTTGTCACAAAACAATTATCAGTGCTATGATAAACCCTGAAAAAGTGCTAATTGCAGACATTACCTAAAATGTAACATAGACAAAATTTGTATTGCATCATGAAGCATTAAAGTATCCCTTTCATTTCACATATCAAAATTAGAATCCATAATAAATCATGGGTGGCCACAGTGAAAAAACTAAATTCTACAATATCTTACTCGTTGTGCATCATTTTAATGCACTATTGTTTATATATAGTTGTCAAATTCTACAAGTGGTTGTATCTCTATAAGATCAAAGGGTAAGGCACAGATTGCTGCAGATTGTACACAAAGTAACGAGAAGGAATACAAAACAGTTATAATAGTTTATTACTGCATTTATCCTGTGCCTTAAGCACAAATTAATATACTTTGACCAGCATCTTTTGTGTCTAATTTATTCCCCCTTTATATTCAATCATATGGTAGTTATCTATTCTTTCAAAAGCAATTCTTTTTGGCATATACATACCTTGGAGTCAATACAAATTAAATATCTTTTTTTATTGGACCCTCTAGTCATTTTATAATAAATAAATAAAGTTTTCTAGTTGGCTTATTACCCATGACATCTGCTTTTATGTCAGATATTATTGGTCTTAAGATACTCTGATTTCAAACAATAGTCATTTGAGTTACAAGAATTTGTCTTTCTTGTTAAGTCCATCAAAAAACAATGTGCAAATAAATTAGAATCAATAATTTAGAAATAACAAAGAGACATTAAGTCAAACTTGAGAAATGTTAATGTAGAACTAAACTATAACTAATTGCTAACTGGGTCTTCTACGAACAACTTTCCATTCACTTTCTTTTTTGTTCTGAAGAAGGTTGATTTTGTTACGACCCCACTGAAGCCACAACCATCCAAAAACAAAACATACTAGACTTTCAATGTAATATCCATCAAGCCGTATACTGCAGGATCCTCCAGCAGATGTGCATTCCTAAAAATCAAAACCAAAATTAAATTTTGGCTCAATATTGCTTTTTTAAAAATATAATTACTTAGATAGCAAAATACTATGCAAATATTAATTCACTTCTTAATTTTATATGATTATTGTGATCATGTATATTTGAAGAGCAGATGTTTACTCAGCTGGTTAATAAATTGTGCAAAAGAATACTGCAGATAGATGTATGAAATAAATACAAAATTATTTAATCATTTATTTATTATTTAATTATTTATTCATTTGTTTTGTAGTGTCATTATGATTTTTTTACCAATTTGTTCCTAATTTGCCTTTTTCTTTTACATCGGCCTTTGTGTCAAAAAGGGGTATTGCTTTCTATTATGACACAATGAAAAACTATGATATTAGCACTCACATTTATCTCTGTAGTGGATGAACAGGTATTATCTAAAAGAGTAGTTGCAGTACATTCTTTGTATGTAAGGCTATCTACAAGCCACAGTGCTAATGTAGCAGGCCAATTTCCACCTAAATTAGACAGTGTGTTCAGAAGTGTCATGTAAGTGCCTCCCACAGCTGGATCACTAACTCGGGCAAAAAAAGCCATCACAGCCACAAACATGCTGTACAAGGTCACCTGCAATATAATAAATTTATTGTCTTTGGAATATTGTACTTCAAATAATAACATAATAACAATAGTCCACAATCTGTTTCATAAGCATATTGTTTCACCTGGTGGAATGCATAAATGCAAATAAGAAGAATATAATAATACATAGGTACCACTCCATCAACAATTAATGAAGGTGTAATCCACACCACAAAAGCTGCAATTAAACCAAACAACAACCTGCAAAATATTTGAAAGGTGAACATTTCATGAAACTTTAATTTCTACATCAAAAATATAAATGGTTGACAAACTTACCTGTATGGTATGGCAGCAATATAAATACTCATTGGCTTGCTACCAGCTGTATATTTACTAATAATTAAAGGTAAAATAATTTGTAGGGGAACCATTGGCAATGCCAACATGGCTAATTTTTCTTTAGGAACCCCTGCATCCACTAGTTTCAGACTTGTTACAGCATCACATGCTGAAAATCCTATCTGAATGAAGATAAGAATGTTAACGTATTTTCATTGAAACATGTATTAACATCGTATTTATTAAATAAATTATCACCAATGATATTGTACCTTGCATGTCAACAAAACAAGGATTGTAGTGCGAATGGCTGGAAGTTTAACTATATTCCAAAGAAGAACATATGTTTGTTTTACGTCCAATGAAATCTCATTCTCTTCATGATGATCTACTTCAACATCATGCTTCAAGACAGCAACCAAACTTGTGGTCACAAGAAATACTATAGCCCAGAAATAAAGGTAACCTGGAAAATGGCATTGTTAATAATGTTTTTGAAGAAATTCAGTACTTATTTAAAAGCAAAACCTATATTTCTTACCAGGTAGTGTTATAAGACCCTTTGGTTCAGGAGTACTGCGAAGATATGTGTTGCAAAATTCTGCAGATTCCAAGCCCATAAACACAATATATCCCAGAAAATAGCCTGCTGTTTGACCCACGCTATTACATGTGGATGCATGTCCAACATTACACCTTAAACAGGAAGTTTCATGATAAAGGATATGCATATATTTTGTATACTGAATCAAATGAAATCACACATCATATGTATTGTTCAACTTAAATTTAACTATTATAACTAGAAAAGAGAACTAGAAAATAATTATTTCTTAAAACATTATACTAGTACCGTTTCAGCATTGTGAGAGCCCAACCATCAACAACTATATCTTGAGTGGCAGCAAGAAAATTAAGGCAAAAGAAAAAGAAAGTCAGCAGTCCAATGCTTGGTGTTGATGATGAATCGCCCAACCATGTGTCAACATTCCTTGACAGGAACATCATAAATAATCCTATCAAATATTGGGTAGGAACAAGCCAAGATTTCCGTCGCCCAAATCTTGCAGAATACCATGAATCAACGATTGGTGCCCATAACAATTTAAGACTAAATGGCCAATTCACAAAGCTGAATTCTGCCTATAAAATTTAAATATTACAAAAACATGTATCACTTGGAAACTTAATAAAATTATAATTTTATTCTGGAAAATGATCTATACTTACTTGTTGCCTATAACTTACTCCTCTGTTTTGCAGGTACATAGGAATAGCTGAACTCAAACCTAAAGGAATACCTTGAAGTAAATAGAGGAAAAATAGAATAGCAATGTTGAGTTCATCTCCTTTGATATTGCTTGTTTGTTCACTTTTATTACTACTCATGCTGACTTGACCTTCTTCTGCATTAGCAGTATATTCATCAGAAACTAAATTCCGTCTGCGAGTACTCATTGTCACCTAGTTGATATCATTAACTCTTAACAAAAAATAATAAAAAATATGAAGTGTGTTTGACAGGTTAAGAGGGACCCCTCATTCGAACACAAAAGACAACTGAGGTTACCCTTTCAACATTTCACGTTTCAGAACATTTCTTACACAAAAAAATGAATGAGAATGATGTACAAGGTCGTGAACACAGATTTTAAACGCGCATTCGAACGGGACTCAGATCACAGCAGTGGCTAGAGCCACGTTGTTTGTATCGGCTTGTGTAGCCACCTTATGATACGAAAAGTTTATATCTTCAAATTCGGCAACCAAATATCCATTGTGTAGGGTCGCTTTTAATTAAAAATATTAAATGAATAACCAATTATAATTAGTTTATGCTTAGCAGTTTCATAATTATAATTGCGATTCGGTGTTTTTATATCATAATTCAAATGCACGAAATATCAACAATGATTTTGAACAGTTGCATACACTGTCCTTCGCCATAACAAGTGCCATAACATCATTACGAAGTCAATGCAAGTAAAATTCCTGACCCTGAATAATAATCTGATTCATGCCTGTTTATCAGATATGAAAATATCTCAAAATTCCGTGAATATAGTTAAATCAATGATTCAGTTGTTACAAATTATTGACAATTAGCTTGTTTATCAAATACAATTTTAGAATGGCAAATAATTCGGAGAAACATTGACAAAGAAATGCATTTGCGACGTGACCATTATTTTTATGCCTTTCTCCCTTAATGTGTCTAACAAGAAAAAATCAATTCTTCTGCGAAAATTTTCCCAAAGTCACGCACCTGCGAGAGGAATGGCACTCATTGCAACCTCAGTTTTAAGGTGAATTGACGCTTCGCTACGAGTTCAATTTCGTCAGGCTCCGGCCTTCGATGTAAGCGATAAACCTTTCTGTTGTGATATTGAGCGTAATTGCAATGCTAAGAGGAGGCTGCGTGGAACCTGAAGGATGCGGTGTTCGGCGAATCCCGAGTAACCGAACCCCGAGTAGTCTGGACGGGGTGCTTGCGATTCGCCGAGCGCCGCTCATTCGGTATTCGCACTACCCACCGCGTGTCGGTCTTTGGGACTCATCAAAGGGAGCGAGCATTCGCCGAACACATCAGCTGTTCGGAATTGGGCGAGCAGGATCTCACTAGTCGGCGAATGCTGAATGTGTGGAGCCGCCTGTCATAAAAAACCGTTTCTTTGTGTAATGTATTGAAAGTGGAAGTACATAGAGCACACAATGTGTGAGCGTGTAATGAAGAATTTAATTAAGATGAATTGTAATGAAGAATGCTATTAAGAGGAAACTGCCGTCCATCTCAGCTTTCGAACAGTTACTTAATTTTTTTTTGTTGTTGTTGTATTTCTGCGATTATATGTGAAATAGAAAACTTAACGGGACAAACAGGTGGCCAGAAAATGGAGGCTTTCCTGGAAAACATTAAGAACATCCAAATGATTTTAAAGGGTGAGTATGCAATTATACGTGGGAGAGATTCGAGGATGTTTTATGCTAACGCGAGGGCCGATGGCTCGAGTCTCGTCATCCAGTTGGAAGTGCATAACGGATTACATTCTGCGCGAAAGCGCGTCGGCCGCTCACACTGTGGCCGCGCAGCGAGTTCCCGGAAATCGACAGCGTTAGTAAATGAATCAAGATCACTAACTGCCTTCCTACCTAGGTTCAAGGTTCAAAGATAAGAAGAGGGAGAATTTATATCGCGTTAAGGAAAAAAACCAGCTTTCAGCTATTGTACTATTTTCAATGAATTTTTTGGAAATTAATTACAGTAAACTCTACCGGTGACTGTACACTTCCACAATCACAAAATTTCTCTGTTCCGTGAAATTTAATGGCATTTTCTACAGCTGAAAATGAAACATTCGGCAAGGCGGGAGAGAACTGTTATCCAAGTTCTACAAGAGCTTAAAGGAATTATGTTTTATAAAGTTATAAAATATTATTCCCCTTAATATAATGAACTTGACAGAGTCCTCATAACCCTTAGACTCTGTTTGGGGTGCTTTTGACCCCAGATACAAATAAATATTTCGCAACATTCAGAAAATTATTCACATGAACTTTTCCTTCTAGATGCTATTGACGTCCAGTTTTACATGTAATCTTTTCAGCTTTCGAAGTTTGTTTCTTTGCTGAAAATAATTTGAGTTTTATGCGGTTGGAGTAAAAAAGTGCCATAGTTGACATCAAAATTATTATAAAAATTTTAAAAACGTTTCCTTTTCCTTTTGTTGAGGTTTTTGAGTGATAGCTTGGTGTATTTGTCAATTACGATTGTCCCATTTCAAACATTCTCATGTAAGCAATATAGATCACCTACTATGTATAGTAATAAGAATGTGCTATTATGTTTTTTTCAGGTAATAACATTATTCCGTGTTATTTAGTACAATAAACAAAATAACATAGCCTCCTTTCCCAGTTAATAATTCAAGATAACATTCCTGCATCAAATACTTGTAAATTATTATGTAAAACGTTTGGGGTAAAAAAAACAAAACAGCAAAGTCCACGTAAGTATTTGAGAAACAGAATCAAAGGGTGAATATAATGTATCTGCCAGTCTGTTTTAAGTTCTCTGTCTCTGTGATATGCGATTTTGACGTGGCAACAGGGCCGGCGAAACGTATAAATTTAAGGTGGGTAGTATTACGCATACAATCGAAATCGAAGTTTGAATATTGAATAATGTTTTTGGTGATTTCAGAAATATTTTTTTGCATCATGTTGATGGTGGTTATAAATGAGTTAAATTTGATTTTTTTTAAATGTCAAAATTCTGGAATATTTTCCAATGGGTAGTACTACCCACCTCTCCCACCGAACCTGCGTGGCCAGTGGCGGACCCAAGGGGGGGGGCGACTTTACGTGCAGATATGTTGCCAGCAGTGGCCTAGCAGTAGCTGCCAAAATGGTAACCTCTCTATACCACACAATTTGCGACCTGTCGAATCTTGTCTCGGCTGGGGTGACCTGGAGGGGGCACTTCGGCAACTGACGTGTAGGTTGGGACTGGATCGTTCATTCCAGCGCGGAAGGAACACCACCACTTCTCACGACATGACATTCTCAAAACAGATCACGAGCCAGGAAACATCAGTCAATCAATCCCGACACCATGGACCTTCATAACTCTGGACGATGTGTCCTCATCCCTTGGAAAAGGACCGTCAAACCTCGACTGCGCCAGCTACTTACACGTTGGGGAGTCTGGCGGTCGTGTGAGCATGGGCCACTTCCGTTTCACCTCCAACCCCAGGGAGGGGCGTACACGCGCAAGCTGAAGAGGCATGGGGCGGAGAAGATTGGCTTCTTACGAAAATGTCTGTCAGATTTGTTCGATCAAACAACCGACATTTGTGTTATGTTTATACTTACAATTCCGTGTTGTTGTTTTTAAATTATACCAGGTATAAATATTTTGTTAAAGGGCAGGAATGTGTTTCAATGGTGAATTCTTTCATTGTTTTAGTTTTATGTTATGGGTTTCTAAATCATTCAGGTATTTGTTGTACATATAAATAATGTGAAATAAATGAGCGAGACTGTATAAAAATACTCGTAAGTTAACAAATTATTGCTTTCGGGCGAACAGCTCTTAAGATACAAGAATCCTTTTTTGTTAAACTATCCTTACCTGAGTGTAATTATTGCACTCTTAAATAAACTCGATTACAACGGCAAGAAACTTACGATTCAAAACGTTTAATTTTACTCTCAATTGGCAATTTGAAATCTGATTGATGAGTTGTTACATTTCAGTAGATCCATTTCTTTGCTTTAGTAGAGGAAACACAAATAATTACACTTGCTCAATTTGGGGCAATATGTTTCAAATAGTCGTCATGGGCCAGGTATCCAGAGATGTACCGCCTCCAAGGGACAAATTTGTACTACGCTTACTCTCAAATCTCGCTCTAGTTGCTCCGGAT